ACTGAATGGAAAGAAGTCAAAAAAAAGATCCATCGGAAAGACGAGCACACATGGCCTGCTCACATACTCAAATGTTCGCCACATGTCTTATCACATGTCTTAGCATTAAACGGTACCAGTTTACTGGCCGTGACATGCCCCTNGCAAAAATCAAGCGGGGTGGCCATTTTGGTGTCCTTACAGGAATGTGGTTTTTTTCAGCCTAGAACCGTGCACAGGGAGATCAACTCTGAAAAGCCACAGGTCAAAATTAGGTTTGCGTTCCACTTCGTCGAACGCAATTATCAAATTTTAATAAGCACGATAAGACGCAGCATTTGCCAAAGTTTTTAAAAAAATCTGTACATAAGGTTCAGACCCACCTTAAAGTTTAAAAAAAAATTAAAATTTAAAGAAAATTTAAGGTGACTCTGAACCCTATGTATGAACCTATTGTGCCACGAAAATGATAACGTGTTCACAAATGATTGGGCGTTTTTTTTGATACCATGATTGTAGCATCAAGTGATTAAGAGAGGTTATAACAACCCATCAAAATCTAAGTGCTGGGAACTGTTTTGAGCCACCTTAAAAGTCTTTGTACCAAGCAAATAGTCCATGTACAAAGCTTCAGTAGTTCGAAAAAAAACGAAAACTAAAAATACTCATTTAACTGATACTCTTGCTTGGTTTTGAAGAAAAGTAGCAAAAATGTTTATCAAGATGGGGGAATGATGGGGCCGGGGAGCGGGGTGGGGTGGAAGGGATTGACAAAACATTCTTTATATGTGCCTAATAGACCACTTTTGAGATATTAAAATTCAGCGTGGCAGCGAGGCCTAGAGGAGAGAAAGGAAATTGAATGCCATGTTTATTCATTTCTTTTGTTTGTGTTCTCTAAGCCTCACTATCAAGCTGAATTTGAATATATCGAGAGTGGCCTACTGAGAGACATGGATGGTAACGAGGGTCTGGATGGGTTTATTTGACAACTGACAAAAGGAAAAAACAAAAACAAGAAAATAAATAACTGACAACTGATAATACCCGAAAATGTTAACAAACATTTGTAGTCAGATGTACTGCCAGCTGACAGAAGGCTTAAGCTGTTGAACATTATTTGTTTCGAAATTCATGAAACTTTACTTTTGGGGGTTAAAATAATATTACTTTATGTTCTTTAGCTTGTTTATAGACCGAAGCCATCACAATGAGTTTTCTATTAAGTCTGTACATATTAATCATTTACAATTTGACGTTCATAGTATCTGTTACATAATCCTCAATTGAAGGCCACGCGCTTCAGGCCAGAGGCCTGGGGCCTGTTTAACGATAATCTCGCGATTATCTAAACGAATGTAGGTTGCCCCTCCCAGCTATACATAATATATAGATTTAGGCCAGCCCAAAAGCGGAGCTCCTCAGTTATTTTTCGGAATGTTGTTACTAATGAAAATAATCCAACATGTCTGAGGTAAATTGCAAATGATTTAATAGTTTCAGCCAGAACTAGTATTACATCAGCAGATCGAGGTGTAAGATGGTGTGATTGTGAAATATAGAGCCATGATTTCAA